GTTGTTTCATACTTCATACTTCGTAGAACATCTAAAGCTTTACTCCAAAATAACCAGTGAGGAGAGGTCAATGTGACTGCGCTACGAAGATCCTTGCCAGGTGTTGGTTTTATGACATTTCCATTTGCACTATCGAACAGGTTGTCAACAAATAAGCACAACTGACCAGTGTCTGCAGCTTCACGATCAATACCTACAAAAAAATAAAAGCAATTTATATATACAATAAAATTAACAAAAAAAAGGTCGATTCTATAATATTTTGTTATTAACTCACTCGGTGTGCAATTGTTTGACATAACAGCAATCCTCTTCATTATTGCACCGACGCGTTGACTAAATACCTGCGCAGCATGTGACACTTTCATTTTCTTAATTTTCTCTTCATATACATGGGCATCAGTAAGTTTAGGTACTAGACGATCTCCTTCTGTGCTCTGATCTTTATCAAACTCATAAAACTGAGTTATGTGCTTCCAAGAAGCTTTTTTTTGGCTGTTGTCATAAATAAAATTTAGATCTTTTGTTATAAGGTTGTTTCTAAGACCTTTTAAAAGATGTGGAACATCAAAGAGAGGAATGATTTCCTTATCATTTATTTCAAAACCAAAAAGACGGTTTTCTTTTTCTTCCTTCATATATTTAGTGTTTGTTTCTTGACGCAATCTATTTATCGCAGCCACATTAGTAGGTGCTTGGTCACATACAGTAGAGATGACAGTAAGACCAGTTGATTGTACAGCTTCTATCACTTCTTTGATAATTTTGGCAAGCTTTAGACCATTCATGTTGCTGGTAGTGAGGTAAAATGCAACTGGCTGCTTAAATTTTTTCCTGATACCTCGAACCATGAACACAAGAGCTTTATCTGCGAATTTAGTTGAGCGATCACTTTTCCCAAGGTCTTCAAAGCCAATAACCTTACCGTTTGATTCATTAAATTGTAAGGATGCAGAAATGGACACTTCATCAAAAATAACCGTGCAGAATCTATCGAGTTTGTTTTTCAATTTTTTCACGGACCCTTTTAAATGTTCAAAAATTTTTTTGTTGATGCCTGTTTCAAAAGGTACCTTTTTCAACAGATCAGTGATTGACTTTCGTGAAGGTAGTGCGAACACTTTTGAAAGTGTCGAATATGCCTTCCCACTTTGTTTAAAAAGAGACAATGCAAACACCTTGTCATCAATCGTAAATCGTCTTCCTCGTGGTTTCTGGGGTTGCATCCACATTTGGGATTCAATAAAATTTTGTGTAAACTGATTTAGTCCATTTAAAGAGTTTGCATTTGAGTTGATGTATGTATCGGCAATTTTAATTCTCTGTTTAGCATCTGAATATCGTTTCTTTAGTATTAAATTTCGATGTTTGTACACTCTCACAGAATTGTATAAAAGAGCTTTGCGAGGTGTCAATTGTGCTCTTCGTTGAATGTTAATGTCTTTTAATAAACTTTTACAGTTTTTTTTCATGCTAAATAGTATTCTTGGCAGCAAAGGAGTACTTTCATTTTGGTCCACGCCTTGAAAATGATAAAAAATTAGTAATTAAATAATGTTTTATTATAATATATAATTAACTGTCTACTTCTACCAGTATTAACATATAAGAAAGTAAGAATTGTAACATTACTTGGGAAACAAATGACTTTTTATCACAAAATATCATATTATTACTTTCAGTAGAATATTAACAAGATTTAAAATTTGAAATGATACGTTCAATTTCACTATATTATTACTTTGTATGAAAAGAACAAGTTTTTGATAGAAAAAAAAAAAAACTAAGTCTCCCCAAGTAAATAATCAGGACATGTTATACTTGATAGCAGCTATATAAACTCAATTTCAATTCTTAATAAATATACAAAATCACTTAATAGTTACCTTCGTTGACACTGATGTCCATGACAGAAGAAACTGTAGATACATTCATCACACATACTGCGTTTGCTGAGTCACTTTCATTGTCGACGTTGCCTATTTCAATAATACATAAATTATAAAAATGAAATACCAATCATCAAAGTTAAATGAACTTAATATTTACAGTTAAACAAAATCACTTAATAGTTACCTTCGTTGACACTGATGTCCATGACAGAAGAAACGGTAGATACATTCATCAGACATACTGTGTTTGCTGAGTCACTCTCATTGTCGACGTTGAACATCTCAATCATACCTGAAAGTTGAAACTTAATATTAATAAGTAAAGTAAAATGAACAAACAATTTATAAATCAAACATCCATTAATACATTAATAAACACATGCAATAACTAAAGTTTCAAGCAATTTTTTTTTGACATGCTGCCTTATTTAACAAAAAACAGATACTCGAACATCACAATTTAGGTTGCTAGTACATAATATTTCTAAGACTACAATTTAACTTAGCAAACGTATAACTACATCATGCCATATTTATACATTAGATCAAAAACAAACCAATTATTGACATCAGCGCAAGAAGATTTGATATTTGGATATCAAATTTTCTAAATTAACTAATACAAATCAACCAATTAAAATTGGAATCAAAGATAAGTTAATTTACAAGTAGTTGATTTTATACAGATGTTGTTTACAATATATTGTGTGACCCACAAACAACATATATAATTTCTATGAAAAAAAAAAGTATATTTCAAGTTAGATATTAAATGATATAATAATATATGTAAAATAAAAAATGAAAAAAAATGTGTCTTTACCTGGTAAATTTAATGTTGGCACAGCATTTGCATTCAGCTTATGTAATCCCAAACTTTTAAAACAAGGTTCAAAATGTTTGTCACACATGACATAAGATTTATAAACATCATCAATAGTCTTGTTCAATAACTTATTGTTGCCAGACCTCTGTACCCAAATGTTAAACCTAATCGTATCCTTAGGGAAACGATGTCGTCGTGTTACTTTATCAGTGTACGTGGAGTCACAATTTATAACAACACATGCAGTAGAAGGCATTTTAATTAAAACCGTGATGCCGTATTTTAAAACAAATATTTAATATTAATTTATACAAAAAAATAATAAATAAATGCACAGAATACAAACACTACACAAGATATTTCAATAAGTTCAAAAAATGTAAAAAAACTTCAGACCCGATGTTTTTAGCAAACAGCACAAACGTCGAACACAAAGTGAAAATTTGTCACCGTTAAAAAAAATTCAAAAGCCTCTATAAAATTTTAATTTGAGGTTATGTTTACTATGATCAGTAATACCTACATCTGGGAATCTTAGGTTTTTTGGTATGTTGGCAATGCACTTGACTGAACGCCATCACTAGCGCTCCCAGTATTTGTCTCACAAACTGTTATCAGAGTGTACTAGTTCCGTCGTATGGAGTTTTACCCCCCTGATAGTATAATAGACTATAGGTCACGAATTAAAATATACTGGATACCCAACGACCTATATGAACAACTATTTTTCTTGGACCCAAACTGACTTGTCAGAACAGCTGTTGCAAACTACACCTAGCGCTTGTTATCATATTTGTGGCAACTTTTACAAAATAATTTACCGCCAAATTTGTAAATATTTGGAATTAAATAAATTACCATGACAAAATAGATTCGTCAATTCGTCATGTTAATTACTATCATTGGACATTGTTTAGAACCAAGAATTAAAATAGATGTTTATCTTAATTCGTGTTTATAACTGTAATAGATTTCCCATTTTGGCCATTTTTCATTAATTCAAAATATTTTTTTGTTTGAGCATGATTACGCAGACTCTACAGTTTTTGACTGTGTTGTTTATTTTATGGCTGGGTAAAATATTTTATGAATTAGGTAATAGCATTAATTAAATAACACTATTATTTACCTTATTTACCTACTTCAAATAGGTACATTGCTAAACGATTGGTAAAGAGTACTAAGTGCCAGTTATGTATAGTAAGTATAAAAAATTTAAATACTTTGTCGGTAGTGAAGCTGATTTACTTAATAATAAAACTAGAGGATACCTAACTCATCCAGATCGAAATTTATACTTAATACTAAAACATCTTGAAACATGTTTTTCAAAACATGCCACTTCTTGTGATGTGTTTGAAGATACATATAATGAATTTTTTAGCTTGAATATTGGTTTAAAGTTTCCTTGCTTAGAACATCAAGCTGATATATTAACAAATATTTTTTCATATTATATAACTATGAGAATGAGGCAGTATTCTTACTTTATGAATCAAAACTCAAAAAAACAAAGTAAAACAAAAAAAAATTATCCAAATTAGTTAAAACATGATTTGTTGACTAATTTAATTGAAGTTTCAACTGTATAGGTATGTAATTAATAATTTTGTAAGTATTTTATGCAATTTGTATTGGGTATCTATATTAATAAATATGTAAAATTATATGTACTATGTAATAAAAAAGATGTAATTGATATTCATTAAATAATTAAATGTGTATTTTTCTTTTACTAGGTACCTATTGTTCTATGCTATTAGTTAATACTACTTACCTTCCACTTAACACTTTATTAATCTATTTTGTCATAGTAGAATATTGAATAATTAGAAATTAGAATGGTACCTATTAATTATTATATTGCAGACTACAGTAGTCAGTAATAAGGAAATGCTTGAATGTTTTAAATTAATCATTCGAAAAAATCATCATATTATTTGTTATTTATACTTTATGCATAATAATATAATATTTTAAATTTTAAATAGTCAATCCATTAGTATACATTTAATTCCGTTGGAGCGCTAGTGCACCTTTGCACATTGAAAGTTAGTTTAGGAGCGTCTTATCATGTATCGTTGGGTATCCAGTATATTTTAATTCGTGGTATAGGTTAAGTTAGTATTATAGTATCATAATAGTTTAGTATATTAGCTGATTAACCGTCAACAATAAGGTAATATAATATTGTTCTCGGAATATTTCATCTCGAGTGACCACAAGTGTTTGTCTTTTGTTCGACACACGGTTCCGACGTCAAAAGTTTTGAACATAAGAACATGATCGTTGACGCTGTTCAAGAAAGAGAGGTAATGAAATTGTATAGGTATATTTATTGTTAGAAATCTGTAATATTTCATGTGTTCACTATATTATTGTGTTGAAATATTTCACAAAAACTATAATAATAATAATATAGTCCAGGAGCCTTAGACCATAATATAGGTACTTGTATAATATGATTGAAGGTTATAGCTATAGGTAATCATTAATGCAACGAGTGTCGTTGCTGACAATACCCGACATCCATAATATATGTTAGGTTGTTTATGATGTTGTATATTATAGTTGTATAAATAATTATACATACTTATTATATTGTAGTAATATGTATGTTACGGGTAAAGTACAACATACGGTTAGTGTTCACATTATCCAGGTAGTGTGAACACTACTTGTACTTATTGGATAAAGTAAAAATACTATTTATAAAACGTTTATTACATTACTCGGGTATTTTACACATTATTATCTACGGACTACGACTGAGCAGGTAAAGTACTTATAACTAAAGACCGGATTTTGCATAATATGCATTTTGCCATTTTCAACATCATATACATGCAGTCAATGAGTGTCCACAAATCATTACTTGATTGATTAAATATCAAAATTTTATACTGCATATTTTTGCATATTCTGACGTTAATGAATGTTCTGCATATTTTTGCATATTTTAACAAAAACCGTACAAATATACAAATAAAAACACAGATCATAGGTACGTTTATATGATATTATAATATCAAATATTTTACGTCTCAAAGAATATTCAGACGCTAAAAATAGTTCCATAGGTTGGTTGTACGGGTTTTATAGTGGAGACATGACTTTCCCTATTTTATCTAATCTTGTTGATAAAATACCCTAAACAACATAATTTGTACAACAACATATTATATTACAACCACTACTACATTTATCCAAGACAATTATTGTTAGTAAGAATTACGTTGTAGACAACGAGTGTTGAGTGTACCTACGTGTTTTTTCGACAATAGTTATTTTGTAATTTATCAATTAATTTTTAAATAGTTAAAATGCCCAAAATTCCAAATTCAAAACTTGCATCAATTAGAAAATGGATTGAGCCGTACAATATTTCTGGTGAGGTTTTCAAAATATTAAATAATACAACAGTTTTCTGTCAAAATTGTCAAAAATCAGTAACAGCAGAAAAAAAATTTCAAATTGATCAACATAAATGTTTAAACAAATCTTCTTCTAAACAAACCTTTGTTCATGAAGCATCAACATCCATAGAAAATCAATCACAATTTTTCAAAGAACTTTGTAATACATTAATTTCTTCAATCATACCTTTACATAAATTACAAAATAAAAACTTTAAATCTTTTTTGGAAAAGTACACAAAAAACATATACCAGATGAAAGTATATTAAGAAAAAACTATTTAAATTAATGTTAGAATTCAATTACCTATATAAAGAAATGTTCCCAAATACTCATTTACCACCACCGCAGCCAATAATTACCCATTGGGGTACTTGGCTAGAGTCAGCCTTTTTTTATGCAGATCATTTTGAAGAGTTCAAAAATGTGATTGAAAACTTAGAAGCAAAATGTATTCAAAATTGTAAATCAATTTTTAATAAATTAAATGTAAAATATGATCTTGCTTACATTAAAGCAAATTTTTTATGTATCGTTGAAAGTATCAAAAAGCTTACCTCTAATTTGTCCCTTGTAGACTCGTTAAAAATTGTAGAACAAGTGGAAAACTCTGTAAATGAACTTCCTACTAGTACAAATAGTACAATAATTAAAATAAAATGTAAAAACGTTTAAAAATGTTTAAAAATTAAATTACAATATTTAACAAAAAATTACATTTTTGTACTATATTATACATGTTACTTTTTGTTTATGAAAAATGTAATAAAATTAATAAATAATTATCACTGCAAAATTAAAATCAAATATAAAATATTGAAATTGAATAAAAATTGAAATTTTATTTTGTATGTTTTGCATTTTTTCTTTGCATATTTTGACTTTGTTTAGTGCATGTTTGCATGCTTATTTTACAATTTAAAATGCATATAAATTCGGTCTATACTTATAATGATTATAAAAAATATAAAAATAATAATATAATATTAATATAAGATTTTTTTTTTTAAATTAATTTACCCTTAATTTTCCATAAAAATCTAAAAAACCTATAGGATAAAATATAGGATAAAAAAATCATTTGAAATTTGTGCCTACAATTACTTACAAATTGTCAATGACATTTTGGCATAGTCAAAAACTTTGAAATGCCAAAACGGCCAAGTTTCGCAGAAGTTAGCCGAGATTTAAGCTTTTGAGGATAATTTGTAACGGCTGTACTTACACATTACCAAATTATGCTTACTAAAACTTATAAATGACTTTCACATTTTTGACAAAATTTTCACTTTGTGGGGCCAACGTCACTGACCTGAAAATTGGTTTGTCATCACTTCCAGCTGAAGCAGTGGAAAAATTAACCACTGAACAAGAATTTTATTATTGGAAGAAATAAATAGTACCTAAAATAGTTCAAATATATAATTAATAGCTTAATAGCAATAATAATAAATCATTTTTTTTTTTTTTGATTAGTATAATTTGGTTTTTGCTACTAGAAAGACTGTTAATTGAACCATTTTAAGTGTTTGATTCGTTGGTCGTGGTGTTGTACCGACGTTATCAGTTTACGATTATAGTAATACGAATACCATATCCACAGGCCACAGCATACTGGATAATGTATAAATTGATTGGATAATACATATTTAAGGTGGATAATGTATACATTGCACTGTTCATATGGATAAGGTTTGCATTATCCGGGTAATATGTACATTAACCGTTTTTGGACCTTACCCGTAACATATACATTAATTAAATCCTATTAAAGGCTTTAGGTAAATTTATAAAACTTAACTATACGAACTCCTATTTCGTATTAAAAACTGTGCTACATAATATTAGTTATATATTTTGCCTACATATTATATTATTATATATTAAATATATTGTAACTCAAACTACCTAATATTAATAACTAATAAGTAGAGAGCAGATGTTTATGATCCAAAAAAATTAAAAATATGCATGCATTATGCACCAAGTATTTTGTATGATATTGTATCATTTAAAAATTGTTGTACCTATGGTTCTGTTTGGTTAGGCCAATCATCATTAATGACCCATTAGTGATTGTATACATTAATATATACATATATACATATAAATATACATATACAGTCGAACTTGGTTATCTCAAACTTCTTTAACTCAAAATCGTCGATACCTCAAACTTTTACTCCGGTCCCTAGAATTTCCTATTTAAACAATGTAAAAAAATCTTGTTTAACTCGAATATTTTCGTGGATAACTCGAAGTTTTGAGTTTTATTAATACATATGTATTTGTATAAAATTTCCCTCATTTATCTATAAAGGTCATTACTCATTAGTTATTAATGTTATTGTCACCGATAAGTTGTTTATCTACGGTTTACGACGACGATGACTGGTTCACAACGACGCATGACTTTCGTGTTCAGTGCTCTGTGTTTGTTTCATTCAATGTCCAAAAATGCCCGGGAACAAGTAACATCAGAAACCATTGCAAACTGTTTCCGTAAAGCTGGTTTTTTAAGTGGAAAATCAGAAAATGTCGGTGATTAAGAAATTCAACAAACGATTACAATAAATGTATGGGACGATGTGAGGCAAGGTGTAAATATTAATTTTGATGACTACATCAACATGGATAACGACTTGGAAGTATGCGGATATTTATCAGATTCAGACATTATACAATTAACTGTAAGATGTACGCAATCATCGGATGAAGAAGAGGAACAAGAATGTAACGAACCCCCATTCCCAAGAGTATACAAGCACGGATGCATATTAATGTATTAAGGCGATTTATCGAAAACAAAGGAGAGGTCATTGATGAACTTTTCGAAGCTTTGAATAAAATAGAACGATTCACTACAAACGCTGCAATCAACTGCAAAACTCAAACAAAAATAAATACCTTTTTAAATAATTTTTTAACCTCATTTTTGTTTATATGTACATTGTACATACATTACCTACCTTTTAAAAATTACATATACATACATACATATAAATACATAGTAACTAATTTTTATTGCACATTACATATTTTATTTATAATAAACACAGGAATTAATATACAGTACTGTTTTAAAATTTTTTTTGGGATAACTCAAACTTTTACTCCGGTCCTTTCAACTTCGAGTTAACCAAGTTCGACTGTATATACATTAATTATTAAGGTGATGACAAATGTATGTAAAAATAAAACTTATTTCAAAAATAAAAACAAACTATTAAAATACTGAAATATTTCATGAAATGTTTCACAATTTTATATTTCATGACCATTTTCAAACACTAGGTTTACCTATTAAAAACGAACTTATGGTATTTGTGTGTACATTTAGGATGAGTTTAGCGAGTATGGAAATTGCAAGGGTCCCAATGCTCTGTACATCAAGCTGATCTCGAGCGATGGATATGATTTCATCGTCAAGCGCGAGCACGCCTTGATGTCGGGCACGATCAAAGCCATGTTGAGCGGACCCGGTCAGTTTGCGGAGAATGAAACAAACGAAATTCACTTCAGGGAGATTCCGTAAGCAATAACAACATTGTTGGATAGATGCGTCAGAAGCATTGATATGATGATTTTCTCTTGTTTAGCTCTCACGTGTTGCATAACGTCTGTATGTACTTCACATACAAAGCTCGTTATTCAAACAGTTCGACTGAAATACCAGAGTTCATTATCAAGCCTCAAATCGCTTTGGAACTACTGATGGCCGCCAACTTTTTAGACTGTTAACTGCCCTCGACGACAGAATATTACTAACTTGCATTAAAA